CATCAACACATTGTCATGTTTCTGCCTGGAAAACAGCCAAGAACACAAAGCCAATATTTGTAGACTGTTGTGCGATGGAGAAACTTGCATGTAATTGGGAGGGAGCTCCAATGTTTTAAAGACAAAGTGAAGGTGAATAACTTAAAAAAAATGCCCTTCAGCAAGGCATCTAACCTCCTGCTCGCTGTTGCGCTTCAGTATGCCTGCTCTGTCACTGGGCAACCCCCACTGTAGATGTGTGTTACTCCCAATGAATATTAAACAGATCGATGACTAACCAGTGTGCATTACTGTAGTGCACCTGGATCTATATAAATCCCAGCTGATATCCCATACTCCTCAAACTCTGACTGCAGTCTAGTGAAATCAACAGGTCCTTTATCCTGTAATAAGATTGTCATTTTTCATTTACCTCACAATGAAAAGTTTTAATCAAGAGTTTATGTCTTGTGAGTTTACAGTACAAGCTGAATTAATTAATCAAATTAGGTTTTATTAGTCTCATTGGAAGTCTTCGCAACATGTAATTGGTTCAACTCTCAAGAAATAAGACTTTCCTCTAGTTTGAGCAAATTTTCTCTGATAAAAATGACAAAGAGATGAACATGATGATTTATACGCAATTTAATTCCAACTACTAGCCTCTTTATTGTTAATGTAATACTGTCACTGAGGAGCCTCATATCTACATCTTGTTACTGGCACTGATATGAACGCCCACCACCTAAATGATGTAATCTGAAACTGACCTGAAACTCAAACTTTACATGTCTGAATGGATCCAGTCAATATGACTGAACTTGTCTAACAGTAAATCCAGTAACAAACAATTTTAATCCAGCAGGGGAACTTAATATTTTAAGATGAGGTAACTTAATCTTTCCTTCTGTGCAAAATGATGACGGTGTAATGATCTCCCGCAATGCTCCTGTGGATAAACATGTAACTCTTACTTGCATAATTACCTCGGAGGCATCAGCCCGACACCTCCTTCCTCTACTTGAGTGGGTGGTGGAAGAAGCTCTCAGGTGCTGGCTGCTGTGTTTATCGCATCCTGGCAGCACAGGAGAAAACCTGAGACATGAAACTCCATTAAACATGTTAAACAGCTGTACCTTCTGTATGGAGCAGAGGTTGTGGGAGCGCCGAGGAAAAGGTCAGCCAGTGGTTAATAGTGTGAAGCGATGGAGGAGAGGAGGGGGCTAAAGACTTGAGGGGACTGCATAATGCCCTCGCTCTCACCGTTGTTTCTGCACAGTCTATCTTTGTGCGAAGCATATTTGACCCATTGCATTGTTGTGGTGATGGATGGATGGATGGATGGATAGATAGATAGATAGATAGATAGATAGATAGATAGATAGATAGATAGATAGATAGATAGATAGATAGATAGATAGATAGATAGATAGATAGATAGATAGATATAGAATAGATAAGAAACACACTCAGTAGAAAAGAGGGCAACTCAGATGAACTTTTAATTTAGTCTCAAATAAAGCAGCTTACAAAATCCGAAAAAATCGTCAACATGGCCGCACTACTTTTACTAGTCCCATCTAATCTACGTTTAGTTAAGGAACATCCACATTACAAATGTCAGTAATCTGCAAAGGATTAATTTCACATCTGTCAAAGTGAAGGAATTTGCATGGCACTAAGACATTGTTTTTCAAGTTAAGGATGAAAAATTTCAAAATGAATTTAATTTGATGTATCAAAGTCAGAGGGAGCGACTCAGGCCAAACTCATCACTGCTGGAGGAGCAGCGCAGAGTACGTCACTTAGAAATCCAACTGAGCAACTGGATTCCTCATTTAGCTTATTTTATATATAAATAGATAGCCACAAAGGAGAGAGGCTAATATTCTGGGATGACAAATGTTTAGGGAATAGTACGACATTTTGGGAAACATTCACAGTTTCCTGAGGAGAAGATTAATACCACTCTCATGTTTGTGCGTTACCTACGGAGCTAGAGCTAGCAGACAGTTACTGTAAACATCTAGCCTGGCTCTGTCCGTAGTTAACAAAAACTGCATACCAGCACATCTTAAAGCTCCGCATCAACATGTTATATATATTAAAAAAACATCACATAAAACAAACAACAATTTGTGGTTTTGCTGGGAGCTATTTCTTGCCAGGCTAGTGACTTCCAGGAAGTACTTGTAGGCAGATTTTGTTATCTTTGGACAAAGCCAGGCTAACTTTTGCCCCCTGTTTTAGTCCTTATTTAAGTATAAGGGAATTTCCCAAAATATACACGCAATATTTGTTTAAAATCCATTTCTGAAGTAAAGGTTCAATATAACTACACTTGAATACCACACAATCAATTAATGTCAAATTGTAACTGTGTATTAGTTTGACCTCTAGCTGTAGAGGCCATAGTGTGATATTGATTTGTTTAGAGGGATAAAGAGTCATGTTGGGCTTATCTTGTTGTAGGTCAGTTGAAGATCATAGATTAGCACCTCAAACGGGGCAACTAAAACACACACTAGGTCTGTGACTGAGGTGATTACATTGTTGCCTCTCTTCAGCTATTCATATTCAGCTTCAATGCTCTAGACTTTTAACTGTGTGATTGTTTCCCAGACGATTCAGTGAAACAAGCGACTAGTCAGTCGTGATACCACTTTCTTTATTCCTCAACCTCACATTATGTTTAGTCGATAAGCGCAGATGCAGCGTTGTGGTCACATTGAATCTGACAGCAACAGTGGCTCAGACCATTGTCTCCCGCCCACAGTCTTGATTGATCTGAGCCGAAGAAACATGGAAAGAAAAAAAACCTGCAAAAATGAAACAATAGACCAAAGAA